TCTCGTAGTCCTGGCCGTCTTATTGCACGAGTGAGCGGTCTCCATGGATAGCTCGACCCAATCTCCCTTCAAGTAGGCCTTCAAATCTCGCTCCCAGTCCTTTTGCTCTTGGGCCTTACTGATTCGGTCTGTCCGGAGTCGTTGTATCACACCCTCTTGCAGGATTTCCCGAGACATCTTGATGGGAGCTCGAGATCGAGTTACCGCAAGCACCTTGGCCGATGTACTTCGGTCCTTGGGAACTAGTAACTCTGGCAATCGATTAATCGCTTCCAAATCCGGTCATTCCCCTTCCAGTATCAACTTCATACCTTCCTTCTACGCAGAGCTGTACTGGCCAATTTGACGACACTCTGATTCCAATCACTTTTTACGTGCGCGATTCCTTGGGTGGGCCATGACAGCAGCTTATTTAAAGCTCTTGCTCGTAATGGAGACATTCCTGAAGGTTTTAAACTCGATCCCCCCCCGCATCTATCGTACCACCAAGCTGGAATCTCCACAGATGGTATCAAACAAGATGTTAGCTCGATAGTTGTTAATTTTTTCAGAGGCCTCGGCCTGTCCGAACCATTTCGTAGAATTATGGTATATTCAATACCCCCTCGACTCGCCCGGCAGTAGGTATAACTCCATCACTGCACTTTCCCGATCAAAATCGTTAGACGCACCGAAAGAAGCAACATGGACCCTAGGGTAACTTTCCAATTTCGATATATTCCCCATCGAGTCCTGAATGTCCCTTCCTCCCTTGGGCTGCTTTTCCACATATGCAAAAATGCAACAATTTGAACGCTCGGATCGTACCAGATTCAAACCTGGCGAGCTTTCAAATTTAGCATCTGCTCGACATTCTCTGGCAACATCCCAGCGTGCTTGGTCAGGTTGTACCACTGACGGATCAAGTTATATAACACTTCCATCGGATACTTTACCACCTCGTGGGTTTCTCCACAGCCTCGACACACGAACAAGCAACGATCTGATGGATGGCTCTTCTTTCCACAGCGATCGTAGGTCAGCCTCTTCCTACAACCCATGTCTTAATGCTTCCTGGACCCACAATGAGCGCATCTTGCACTTGAGGCTGCCGACACCGTGGCGAGGTCCCTGGTCCTTAGTCGAGAGTCGAGGATGGTCTACCTCTCTAATGGGTCGATCCCTCGGGATCCTTGGCCCTAGGTCCTTCTCCGTCTCCGTGACCATGAGATAGACCTTTCGTAGGTGACCGTCACTATCAGAACCGTCTAAACCGGAGTCTTTGGAGCTTGATCCTTCCTGGGTCGCTCAAAATGCATGGACGAAGCGGCGATTCAACTCCCTTTACCGGTAAGGGGCAATCAGTGCTTTCTGGCGAAACTTGCCTGACCCAAATAACATCTTACCCTGTCGAGCCTTCGTCCGATGACGCACCCTCAGTACATCCTCCAACTCTTCCACATCAGCCAAACGTAACACGGCAACTGGTTCGCCAGGTGGGGGTCGTCCAAGGTCCCGATATAGTGTTCGACATGCTACTTTAAATTTTGGGCGGTTGATCTTGATCTTCGCTCGAAGTCTAATGACATCAGACGGTATAGGTAGCCCAGCAGGTATTCGTCCGACCTTTTCTTTGCGTGTTAATATTGACGGGCCACTGGTACCCCCAAACCATAGTGCATCTGGAATTCATTTAACAAATCCTTTAATATCCACGAACAGAGCGACCTAGCTGACGATACCAGTTCTAAGCACGTTCAGTCAATAATCCTTCAAAAACAATACACTTCTCCCCATCTGGCGCTTGGTCCCTCGTGAACGCGGTCTTCACAGTGGTCACCCAGCTGCGTGCTTCATCCTCATATTGGTCTTTACTATGAAAATCCTTGAGATCCGAGGTCGCTGAGAGCTTGATACGGGGAACCATGTTGGGCACCTGTCCCAGGGTGGCATTAGCCATCCTCGCCAGAGGTTTATCGAGATCCATGTCATATGGGTCGTATTCATACGCACTGAACGATTCCATCTCCACGTCGATCATCCCTTGGTCTCTTGCACCTTGCATACCTGCACTTGGACCCATCTGGCCGCTGACCTCTGCGCCCTCTGTCGACCTCTGGCCGCATTTCCATCGATGTGCGCTTGCATTACTTGGAGTTCTTGTAAGAATTTCGCCATCGCCACGTCAAAGTATGCCTGCAAATTACCTACCGGGTCGGCAGGCACTCCTCCCCGGAAAACTTCGTCACGTGACGAGGTGTAATTCTGTACTGGTCTTGGCTCATTTCTGATCGGTTGAAAATTAGACCTATCAGAAGCCCGACGTTCTCTTGGCTGTACTCACGTGGCCTTTTCGTGGGCTTGCTGCTCGTCGTCTGCGCTCTCTGCTCGGGCCTGCAGCATCAACATGCCGGTCGGTCCTAGTGGCATTCGGCCCACGTGACTAGCGACAGGCGAACCTCGCGTTGTTTGCCCTGCAGGGACCTGAGGACCCTGAGTCAAGGTGGTCTGTAGACCATGGGTCCTTGGTCGACCATTTCCCTTGAGGGTGGACCTCGATGTCTTGCAGGATCATCTGGCTGTCGTCAGACGGTGCTTTTGCAGCGGTAGCAGGAGGTGAGTCAAGTAGTACTGGTGTTGTTCCCATCAGGATACCCAGACGTTTGTGTAAGATTTCTAACGTGGTCTTGGCATTGTTGAACCCTAGAGAAAACAAGTTTCAGGCTCGAGCCTTCCTGCAACCATAATTACCTCGCGAAGAAGGGTCACGAGCGCGGTGATCGCGTCTGTCACCGTCCTCAGCTTGGGAAGGGTCGACACAGGTCCACTGAGCTGACCCAGCAGACGGATCTTGAGAGCTCTGGTGACGGGGTCGCTCTCCAAGAACGCGTCAAGCTTGAGTCGATGGTAGACCTGTTCACGTCATCATTCGACCAGGACAAGTGTCCTGAGGTCAAGGGGTTACCGACTTGGTGTCACCTGGTGCTTTTATCCGGAGCTTGGTCGGCTTGGTCATGGCGATCGTATGTTATCGTAGTTTTTGTATGTTCTTGGTTTTTGGGGACAATAGTCTATCAGTCTTTCACCTTCGACTGGTCCTTTAGGGCATGATAGATATCATGACCAGAGGTGTCCTCGACGAGGACATAGGGAGGGTATTTCGGTTTCTCTTATATAAGTTCAACCATGACCATATTGACCAGACCCCTCTCAAGGTTTGGACGGTCCTTCAACCCCTTGTTGTTTTCTTGTGTAGTCACTGGCGATCAGTTTCTCAGTGACTCGTTGGTCTTTTCCTCAATATTTGCTTGAACATCTTTATCTTCCTTGGGCCTCGCAAAGATATTCCGCGTCTACCGAAGATCCGACACGTGCACCATTGTGGTGGAGTGGGTTTTTATAACTGCGTAATGAGACTCCAAGCCACTCACTTTGCCTGACTACCGACTGTCGGAGGGGGTACCCCGATGCCGCGTATAGACCTTCTCTCACCTTGTGTACCCGTCGGCTGGCGGGTTGCACTCTTCGGAGGAATTGGTTGAACTGTGATGTACTGTTAATTTAATGTACTAGTGTGAAATGATGAAGATGACAGCTTGGCCGAGTATTAAGGCGTTAGCCTGCTAAGTTAATCGGGCAACCCGCGTGAGTTTGCGCGTGAGTTCAAATCTCACAGCCGGCCTTGAAAGAGGTCGACCTTGGAGTGCCTCGAGTGGGTATACTTCACTCGGTAGGCGGGTAGGTGGCCACTGGTCGATTAGGTCGAGGGTGGACTTATAACCAAATTCTTCAATGGAGATTCTCAACCCTAGCGTTTTTCTTGATGTCTCAGGGGTGTTAGCCGCCTGACCTTTACTTGCTACCGGACCACTAGGGTAGGGAGACCCCTTTCGATAGCGGGTTGAGTTGGGGAGTGGGGTGCTACTCGGACGAACCCACAGGCCAAGTATATTCTGGGGATCGATTTGCACTACGGTCTTACCACACAACTGTCTTAGACGGGGGGGGCAAAATGTATCCGTTTCCGGAACAGGTGGGTAGACTTAGTAAGTACCTTGGAAGCACGACGGAGGCGTGCTATGCAATCTCAAATTGAGTAGTATTTCTATAGTCCAACCTTTTAACTACTTTACTTTATCTTTACCCCCGAGACCTGATTCTTTATTCTGCTTGGCTAGGGCATATAGACTGAGGGGCCGAGAGGCCGACAGCCCAGATGCCAAATTTCTTTGATGCAGTACCAAGGTCGGCCTTTAGGGACAGGGGCCGAAAGTCCGCCGACCGAAGGGCCAAGGTCTACCTTCATAATTACTGAGGTCTATTAATGATAGACCAGGGTCCACCTCGAGGAACTGCGGTCCATCGAGTAACCATTGTTAAATTTCCTGAATGATGATGGGTGGCCCATGCTGAACAAATCCCAAGCGTACGTCAACAAGCAGCCCCGTCTCATGATAAAACGGGTCTTGGAAGATATCTTTGAGCTTGCGAAGTGTAAGGTTGGCAGTAAAATGCAATGTGATGAGGTTGGAGAACTGAACTGACACCGGCCACGTGATTGTATGAATTTTTGTAGCAACTTACGAATCTGCTGCTTGTTTTGGCAGCGATTATCATGCTGTCCACGTACAGGCACACGTAGACAAAGCCGTTTCGTGTACGCTTAACATAAACACATTGGTTTGCACCACAGCTTTCGAAACTATTTTTTCAAAAACACACGACAAATTGTCTTGTTACAAGCTTTCGCCGCCTGCTTTAAACCGTAGATAGTTTTTTCAACTTGCACATCATGCCTTCAGCATTCTTAACACCAAACAAAACGTCCATGTGACTCAGCTCCACCAAAACACTGTTCAGGAACGCAGTATCTGCGTCTAGCTGTTCCATGACGTAGCTGTATGCTGCATACACAGCTAGTACAACACGAATCGACTTCATGATTGCCAGCGGCGAGTAGGTTCAATAAAATGAATTCCAATTTTCTTCTTGAACCCTTGAGCTACTATCCGAGCTTTGTATCACTCGACCGTTCTATTCGCGTTTCTTGGCAAAAACCAACGGCATCCAATTAAACGAGTAGCCGTTTCACGTGGAACGAAAGTCCAAGTCTGGTTCCTGGCGTACAACTGAAGCTCAGCATCGACCGCCTGACGCCGTTCAGATGCTTTATCACTAGCAATAGCCTCTGCATAAGTGTTTGGCGTATCAGAAACACCATCAATACTCGCAGCATATGCAAGTACTGCCTCGGCGAGCAAGCCTTCTTCGTCAATCCCGGCACGCTTCGGTGATCGAAGTCTATCACTCCAGTCATAATGATGTTCAACATCAGCGTCCAATCCATCCTCAACAAGGAACATAGGTTCTCTGGTACGCCTCTACCGTTCCGCGTCAGGATTAAGCACCATGCGATCTTTTTGAAATGCTATGGTCGTGGCTGATACTCTGTCAGTTCCTGTCCAGTTGAAGTCGGTTCTAATAGAGGTAATTTGGTTTGTCTAGGCTCTAGATCACGTTCCAACTCGTTTATCGCCACATTCAGAACCGGTTCGCCAACAGCTTCTTCCATGGATTCGTCCATATTTTTCTGGTGTTCTTCAAACAAGGAAGCGCTCTCGGTGATACTGTCCTCGGTCACATAAATCAACGTTTCTTGTTACGGTAATTGCGTGTCATATACAACTCCCACCTCACGCTTGTCTAACTTGACCGAACGTGACAGCTTGGTTGTTGAAGCATCTAAGTCAAATAAACGGTACCCTTTTGTGTTCTCAGCATAACCCAAGAACATACAGCGGAAACGCTTTGGCTTCAATTTCGTCCTTTCAACATCGTCAATGTGAGCTTACCTTTGACCCAAGCACTCGTAATTGTTCCATACGAGGCTTTACCTTGAACCCCAACTTGTATGGTGTCGAGTCTGGATGTGTCGCGTTTGTCGAACTGTTAGATACACGGCTGTGTTCACAGCTTTTGACCACCATACAATTGATACACCCTTATAGTGTAGCATGCCGTGCCTTCTCCACAATCGTGCGATTCATGCGTTCCGCTACACCGTTCTGCTGAGGGCTGAAAGAAACCGTTCGTTGGTGCAGGATACCGTTCCGGTGAAACATCTCATCTACAGTTTTGTTCACGAATTCTGTTCCATTGCCCAAGCTTAGACATTTCAAGCGTTCACTTCATTGGTTTCATAGAACACTCGTAACTCCTTGAGCTTTGCAGGCACTTCACTCTTGTTCTACATTAAGTAGGCTACTACATACCGTGAGGAGTCGTCCACAAGCATTAACACATATTTGGCACCACCCTTTGTAAGCGTTCTCATAGGGCCCATCACATCCGTGTGTACTAGTTCAAGCATGCGAAGATGACTTTGTCACTGTCCGATATGGGACTAATGTTACGGTCTGCTTACCCTTCATACAGCCACAAGGTATCAACACCTGGCTTTACCATTGGTATACAGTTGTAGCACGCTGTATCTTGATCATCGCGTCCTTGTTTGGGTGTCCCATCCGGGCGTGCCATAGCTACCACTCACTATCTTCCCCCGATTACTGCACAAACCGTGCTTCATCTTGCTGACAGTCAAGAAGGAACGCTTCCCCAACTTTTCCCCACAGCAGTTGCGCTGCCGTCTTTCCAAATTACACACGACGAACGTTGAAACTCTGCGTTCAAACCACATTCTGCGAGTCGTCCGACCGACATTAGGCGTCTGTCAAGCCGTGAAATAAACAAGACGTCCATCATCTTGGTGCGTCTATTGTTAAGACCGCTTAGCCTCACTGTTCCTCTTCCATTGAAACTTTTAACTTCTTGCCGTCGGCAATAGTCACTTCAACGCTGGTATCCTTGGTCCCATAGTCGAACAGGTCGGGGCGGTGCAGAGGCATGTGCAACGTAGCACTATTGTCGATTAGCCAACCTTACAGATATTCCTCGCCCACGGACAACACAGCTTCATTACTGTTATAACCTCTTTGGCCTGGGCAGTCCCGCTTAGTATGACCAACTTATTCACACCCGATGCACTTGCCCTTAAAATCGCCACGGTTCTTCCGTGGAGCGTTCCTCTTACGATCATTAGCTCGACCGTCTTTGAGCTTACCAGCGCTCCCATTGACTTGGAACGCTCTATTCATCGTAGTGTCCTTCTTCTCCAAACTCTCATGCTCCTTGAGCAGCTTCTCCTTCACTTCAATTAGAGACACGTCCTTGGCGTCATCTATAATGGATGAAATCATGTCGTACTCAAACGGGAGAATGCTTCGAAGGACCACTAGCTGTCTCACTATATAGACGACCTTTACCAGCGTCTGCAACCCGACGACCTACTCGTCAAAAGCGTCAAGATGCTGGGTCATATCTGCACCACTCTCCAGTTTGAACGCATAAAGACGACGTGTCATCGTGACAAGGTTATAAGGCGTAGAACGGTTTTAGAAGCCTTGTAGTACACCCCACGCATGCATTGCACGCGTCGCAGACAGACTCTTGGTCGATGCTATATCTACACACCGTAATTGATAATACCAAACTCCTTTGCGTCACTAACGAGCCACGCCTCGATAATCCCGTTCTCAGGCTTCACAACCTAAACATGCGCCAGTAGACTCGTGCGTGTCAATGTCAGGCGTGTGTTAAACTTCCAGTGGAAGCAATTACCACTTCAAAGAAGGACTTCGGCGCATTTTAGGTCATATCTCGGCGGCTGCCTTGTTGTTAGCCTGTTACTAAAGTCGGTTGTTATGTTGGAGGCAAATCCAAGTAATTAAAAAGATCCTTAGTTCACTACCATAAGCTATTTCTAAGCCTTAATGTAACGATGTTCCATAGCAATTCTCTGAAACTATCATAACCCCCGAATGATTTATTACATACATCATCACCCTAACAACATGAACGTAAATGCTAAGAGGTGTGATATCAACAGCGTTCAGAGACTTTTCTTTGACCATTAAAAAGCTCGACAACTCTTTTCTTAATGTATGCATGATAAGCTTGATTTTTTATTTTACTTTTTTTTAAAAAAACAAAAACAATGGAAAAAAAAAATTTTCTCTTTTTTTTTGGGTTCTTTATTTTTTTCCCCCCCACAACGCCCCCCCCCCTCTTTTTTGGGAAAAAAAAAAAAAAAAAAAAAAATTTTCCCCCCATTCTTCTCCTTTTTTTTTTTTTTTTTTCCCCTTTTTTTTTTTTTTTTTTAAAAAAAAAAAAAAAAAAAAAAAAAAAAAAATTTTTTTTTAAAAAAGTGGAAAAAAAAAATTTTGGAAAAAAAAAAAAAACCAAAAACAAACAAAAAACCAACCCCCCCCCCCCCCCCTTTTTACAAAAAAAAAAAGGAGAGGAGGGGGGGGGTTTTTTTTTTTTTTTTTTTTCCGGCCGAGCCCCTTATTTTTTTTTTTTTTTGTGGGAAAAAAAAAAAAATTTTTTTTTTTTTTTTTTTAAAAAACGCCGAGTAAATTTTTTTTAACCCCCCACCCCCCTCCCCTCCTCCCCCCCCATACGACTGACATAAGTGCGTGTTTAAGAGGATTCTTTACAAAAGTATATTCAAACAATTTTCTTGATAGAAATCCGAATAATCAAATGAAAACAGTTTGCATAGTAACAAATACAATATTCTAAGTAAAACCTTGCTTGACATTTCCTCCACGTCTATTTTTCCATAGTCCTGTGTAGCTCCGCTGCAATGGCCATGGGCTGACCACTACACGTAAAGGAGTACAAAAGTTTGAAGCAGCCCAAAGTTTTATCGAATGTCCGATTTTATATCCGGCCAATTGCCGCATGTTTCACCTCATAATATGCTAACGTGAATTCAGCTGGACTGACTCACAGACAGTCCGTGTAGCCAAAACATTGCATTTAATACCTTCAAGCATCTATGTCGTCAAAACGAACCAAGCCATGCCTTAAATCGAATCCGGAACAATTGCAGAAATGAACAGTCACAGACTTTATCGAATACAGCGCGGTAGACCACCTGACTTCAGAGGAATGTCCGCAAATATAACATGTACAAAAGGTGGTGTTACAGGACAAAGATTGGATTGCTTGGATAACTCGAGCATCAGCAACAGAAATCAGAATACGTAAACGACTATAGGGAGCTCTCACAGCGAATAATAGTTAGGGAGGCGGAGTTATTGTTGTGGTGGAGTGGGTTCTTAAAACTACGTAATAAAACACCAAGCCACTAACTGTGCCGGACTGTTGACTGTCGGAGGGGGTACCCCGACATCGTTATGCACTGAGCGATGGTTTGTTGTACTATAGTGTAGGGCCGGATGACCAGCCTCGTGTTGTGGTGCCTCATGACGAGGACCTCAACTATTGCATACTTTATGAAGCTTATGATACACCCATTGGTGGTCATTTAGGTCGTGAAAAGACCTACAAATCGGTGAGCACCCATTACTGGTAGCCTAAGTTGTATAAGTGGGTTGGTACATATGTACGAGCGTGTGAAACGTGTCAAAGGGGGAATCCCTCGCCTAGTATGGCTGCGCCTTTGGCGAGTTTGATGTACCTTTGGGGTTGTGGCAGTCCAGTAGTATGGACTTTGTGTTTGGCCTACCGCGTGATGCGGCAGGCAACACTGGGATTGTAGTCTTTGATGACCAACTGAGCAAGATGGCTCACTTAGCGGCAGTGCCGGACTCCATTAATGCAGAAGGAAAAGCAAAGCTGTTCATGGATCGTGTGTTTCGACAACACGGATTGCCTGTGGTAATCGTCTCGGATAGAGACCGCTGTTTTACGCGTAAGTTTTGGACGTCCGTCTTTAAAGTGCTCGGCACTCGACAAGACATGTCCACGGCGGATCATCCGCAGACCGACGGTCAGACAGAACGCTTGAATCGCGTTATTGGCGATATGCTTCGCAGTGTTTGTACTGAAACACCCAAGTGATGGAGCGCGATGCTCCCACTCATTGAGTTTGCGTTGAACAACGCGGTGCATGCCTCGACAGGCTTCACCCCATTCTATGTGAATGGATAGGTCAACCCTCGCGTTCCGTTAACGCTACCTCCTGCCGCATCAGGGCTTAGTGGGGAGAGATAGCCGAAGGCTTGACTGATATCAGCCCTGTTGCTATGCGCAAGAAGGTGGAAGCGTTTATGTCAACGCGTTTTTGACGTATTACGTCGCGTCGAAGACGCTATGGCTGAAAGCCAGGATGTTCAATAGGAACAAGCTTTTGAACATCCTGGCTAGGAATTTACCTACTCGCGCCATTTCTGAGGTATACAAGACCAAATTACGTCCACGCTTTATTGAAACTTTCAACTTCATATGGAAGAAAGGCTTACCCTATACGCTGAACCTTCAAGAAGATGCAAACACACCCTGTGTTCTACGTAGATTTGTTAAATACATATCTCAACCCTGCCTCGGTGGACTTTGAGGGGTTGTCCCCATATTCCCAGCCGAAGGAGGCGGGTAGTACGGCACCGGAGGTGCATATGGACGCTGGAGGCGTACCAGGAGGTCAATTTTGACACCGAAGCTCGGCTTGAGAACGATCAATCGACGCTAATCGATTCAAAATTTCAAAGCAATGACGCTCAAACGATCGACGGTGTCGATCGACACGGTCATCAACCGATGTCAGGTGAGACTTCACCGATGCAACAGCATCATGATCCAGGAGTGTCAGGCGACGCTCGATATCAGAGAGATGAGAGGTCAATGGGTCCTCGGCCTCCTCCGACGCTGATTGATGAACTGGGTCGTGAACAGTTTATCGTGGAACCTCTCTTGGCTCGGCTTCGTCACCCAATGTCACGCTGTTCGATGCTCGCAACGGTAGCTGCTCACGGCATCTGAATCTCTTCCAAGGGTGTCGTGCGAGGTTTCTACGAGTCGCTATGAAGAGAAAAACCAAGCCAGCGAACGCGGTAAAGCCTCTTCGGAACGCGGCCGGGTAGAACCTTAGTGGCGTCACGACCGATCTGCGGCAGGTACCTGTGGTCAAGGCTAAGTTTGTCCAGTCAGCGCCAAATCATGACGCATTTTACCAATAGTGGAAGACCTTCAACCTGGAATCGTACACGTGGCGCAGGAGCGTGCATACATGCGCCAAATCCGAACTAACATATCGCAGAGCATCTGCAGGAGGTCGAACGGCTGATGACCTTCGTTGACTTTGATGCGAGCCAGGTGGGTTATTTAGCCGACGCTGCGGAGAGCCTTGCTGAAAAGACTTCGTCTGCAATTGCTGGATTTGCACAGCGTTTTGAACGTCTAGAACAATAGAATAATGCGCTTCGTCGAGACAACGCGGTGCTGCGTGGGCTGCGCAAGCCTGATCCGCCAAGCGGACCACGTTAGCAGAATTGCGTTATATACCCACGGAGATTCAGCTTACATTAGAAGATCCACCGGCCCGTAACGCTTGAGACGACCATTACAGTTTCCTCGGACGAGGACGAGTTTTTACCGGAAGACTTCCGTTCTGGCAACGCCAACTCAGAAGCCCTCCATAAAGACCGTGACGGTCACTGCCTCAGGCATAGGGTCTATGACCATGGCAGCAATGAGAGCTCTCAACTTTTGTACATATGCCGCAAGCTTACGCTGGCCTTGGCGACACGCCAAAAACCGCGACCGGTTACGGTGTGCTTGGTTTGACGGTGCATACTGCCGGGTCATCTGAACTTTCAGATTGGCCCATGTGGGAAAAGCATCTTGCAGTGATGCACCACATGTGAACGCCCACTGTTTGGCTAAGCCACCTAACTTTCCCGTGGCAAATCTCGTACGGTTCATAGGTGATGTTGGCTATAAACATAGCCGACTCAACCTGTCGGAACTACAGCATAAGGTTGTCACCTTCTTTGCCGTCAAACTTGTCGACTTCCATTTGAATGGGTTTTAATCTGCTGACCACTTCTTGCGCCATAGTCTCCATGGGCGAAGGCGCGAAAGAAGACATCTGATTCTTTTCATGCTCCGCAAGAGCGTTATTATATACTTTAATCGTAAGAGAACCTTTTCTTCGCCTTGGGCGATAAACTATCCAATATTCTTAGGTCCAAGAATAGGAGCAGCTTTTGCAACCCTTCCTGTTGAGCTTAACCACAGACATCTCTTCTATGTCGATTCTCACAGAGAAGTAGTCGCAAACCCAGGTGCGGGATTGGCTACAAGTGTTACCATGTGTAGCAGAGATACCGTAGCAAAGCTGCTTATGCACTTAGTGCAGAGAAAGGCAAACTCTAGTATCTTTTCGTCTTGGGGTTAACAACCTTCATAAGGCTAGCTACAACCTTGTACTATCTGGTTTGCATCGATCACGTCTCCAAGAGGCTATTTTTCAAGACACACTATATTCTTTCAGGGACTAATTACAGCAACTAATACTATACAGATCAGGTTCCAAAATGATTTATTTTATTTTTGTCGTCTTGCACTACTTATAGACGTACCTACTCTAATACTAAATGCTAGTAACTGCATTGAACTAGCTCTGTAACCTTCTTACTACATACACATATGTATCCATAGTACTTAAAGTACTATTATAATCACATGGTATCTCTACGACGATGTGAACTCATTGTATCTTAGCTGCGCTTACACCATAGAGGATGCAAACCCCCATTGTCCCCAAAGTACAGCCCCCCATGTATGTAAAATACCTCTGAACTATAACCCCGTTACAGATTTTAAAAAAGGAACGTGAGAATTACGGGTCTCATTTTAACTCAAATACAATCAGCTAGACAAGCTAGCAGATTTAAATATGGGATCACCGTGGATTAAAATAGAAAGCGTTGGAGACGCGTCGAATTGCAAAAATTCAAGCACGGCTTATTTAAACACGCCCACATGAGCAATTTTTGCTAACGAATGACACATTTCCTCCAAATCGCACATGTAATACGTGTATAAATTAATCGAATCTCGCTGAAGCTCAATCGGGAAGGTCTAGGGGTTGAAAGGCAATACCTGGTTGCGCTAAAGTTAAGCCTTCGGATCTTAGTGATTCGGTTTGCTAGTTCACCGATAAGACAGCCCGTATTTATGGTGCTGGAATCAAGCTGTCTATGGCTGACGAGTGGGCTGTCCTTAAGTATGAAAAAATATACACAGCAAACATATATAACAATGTACTAAGTGGTTTTGCTGCTTCAATCTAGAGCTGCGTTTGCGCGGTTCCTTTTTTTGAGTAGCAAGCTGTGCTATCGAAAAGGTATACGTAAAAAGCATACAATTTTCAACATACACTACCACACAAATTGTTACTCTTTGGTTCTGATTGTGGCCCTGGTCTTAAATACTAAATTATTCCTTGAGGGCCTTGGTAGATTGCTTGAACCCATTTTTAGCACTAGAAATTCAAGCCGCAGGTACCTTGCAATCGTGACTATTTGAAGAAGATCAAGCACTGTTACTAGCTTGAAAAAGCTCTTAACTCAATGCAACCCAGAGCTCAACTTCCAATGATGGTTATCCGATGAAAAAAGTAAAGTGCAGAAAGACGTCAGCATGAGTGATTGTGTTTTCACCAGACCCACTATATACTAATGCCGCACAATAGGCATCACACTTGCCTAATGTTCTAGCTGCATATGTCAGTACAAACTTTTCATGAGTCAATTAAGGTAGTAGAAGATGAAAAAAATAAGTATGTTCAAAAACGTATAGCGAAAATAATACCACTACTTCGATGTTCAACTCCTTCATACCCGTTCACGTATCCGGTTTTTTCCTGTTGCTCGTAAAAATTCATCGTAATTCTTTCTTACCTTGTCAGAGATTTCCTTCAATTTGCCGTTGGGTACTAAAAGATCATTAAATAAAAAGAATAATTCCTCGTATCCAGGAGTTTTTTGCCACGTCATAAATTGTACTCTTTCAAGCAAACTTGCTTTGGCTGCCTCCGTAAGTTTCCAATTTTCAATTCCTATGGCAACCTTTAACAAGCCGTAGACATTTACAGCGTCTATGTATTCATGCTCCGTAACTGTAGAAGGAGTTGCCGCATCATTACCTGCAGCCATCGGGAAGGAGTGTTCGTTGTATTTTGCCATTTTTTTAGAAGTTACCTCCTCAGGTTCAAATTTCCTTTTCAACGAAGGTATGGAATTTTTGGCAATCTTAACTATAGCCGACTCCGCGTCAGAAATGAGGCTCGCGGTTACCGGAGGAGTTGCCGCATCATTACCTGCAGCCATCGGGAAGGAGTGTTCGTTGTATTTTGCCATATATTTAGAAGTTACCTCCTCAGGTTCAAATTTCCTTTTCAACGAAGGTATGGAATTTTCGGCAATCTTAACTATAGGCGACTCCGCGTCAGAAATGAGGCTCGTGGTTGCCCTCTCTTCAACTTCATTGATAGGGCTGCTCGTTGCGACTGCCACGCTAGGCTTCAGGTGCCGCTTCACAGCAACACTGTCATGAGGTGAGTTCAGCTTACCCGTCATCACATCATCATGATTAGATTCTGCGGCGGTCCCTACAGAGCAAAACCCAAGGATCAAGACAACGAGACACACCTTTGCATGGAAAAACTGGGCTGTGCCGGTGAATGGCATTTTTGTAACTTGAAAAGATGCGTGAGGCTCGAAGCAGAATCGAATGTGATGAGGTTGAGACCTGAAGTGTCACCTCAGCGTAATTTATTTGGATTATCCGGACAATCTAATTTTTATTCTGTAGCCGCGCTGAATGCTCTAGATTCTTGTTCTACCGTATTGACGCTTTCTACTGAAGTCAGATGCTTGAACCCGCTTTATCAGACAAGGTTGGGGACAGTTTCTTTGAAAAGGCACCGGATCAGATTCAAAGCGTAGCTTCTATTGGTGGGACTAGCCAAAAGCTCGACGGGATTTGATGCAAATTTTCGTTTTGTGAACTGTCTGTGAATCGGTCCAACCGAATACACAAATCATACTGCTGCAGTGTCACATGCGGGTCACAAAATCGAGTACTCAGTAGATTCCTGGTCTGCAACAACGCCCTCTTGCACTTTTGTGCGAATAATGGCCAGTCCATGGCCATCATGAAGTTGCTGAGTGCACTTGTTCAAGTATTGCGTAAGAGTGAAAAAGTTATCGTGTTTGTTTATGATGCTGTTTAAGTTCCTTCATTATGAAGGGCCTAGCTTTCACGGAATTTGACCACTATAATGTCATTCTCAATTGGTAAAACCTCACGTTTGCTTGCTAATCGTCTGATGCCGTGGCATATGCAGAAAGCTCACACAATCGTTCTTTCTGCAGCAGAGACGGAATATCGCTCTGTCGTACTCTCTATATGCGCCGGTAGTCTGCTTGAAAATTCTGCATTGAAATTCTCTAGCACAGAAGCTAACCTTACTCGTGAGAATGTATGAATTTAGCGCTACTGTCATGGATGGTTGTAGCACATCCAGTTTATGCAACCTTTCGTGTAGGATTTGGAATAGGCGGACACTGTCCTTTCGGTGACATGTCTAAAAGGTGCTTTCAAGCAAAAGAAAACAACTTTTTGAAGCTTACTATGGTTATTAGCTATGTATAAAATACGAGTCCAACGTACTCTTGACATGCATATCTGGCCTCTGGCCAAAGCAACAGACACGTTAACACACGTGGCATCAACGAGGTGCTTTGTTTGTTATGACGCGCCGGGTCGTTAATACACCGTGATTACCAGCTCTTGGCCCCAAGCGGCTGCAGCGTGTGCAGGATCTTCTGCAGGTTGGCTCATCACTCCTGCAACAAGACGAACTGAATCTTTTCGGAAGCCATGCTCCAGCACGTCGAAAGATGCCGACATTGGTAGCCATTGGGTTGGTATGGCGGCCATCAAACAGGTGTCGTTTAAAGAATCATTGATTATTGGTGAACAGAAACTACACCATTGGCCGTATCGTAGTACATGCATGAGTGTACTCTCGAAGCTATCAACGTTTACCAGCCGCTTCATTCCTCAGTACACAATTGGAATGTCTTCTGGCTAGATATTGAGCCACGCACTAAGTCTTCACTGCTTACGTTTCTATGATCATCCTATGGTTGCCATGAAGGTCTGTAGCCATATTGCAAGTATGTAGATTGTGGCCATTTTACTGTGTTATTGTAGCCTGTCAAGGTTTGTTAAGGTGTAAGTTTGTCACGCCTGCTAACTTACACCTTCTATTGCAGCATTCTCTTCGACCAGGTCCTAGATGTCTGCGTTCGTGATAGCTCCGTTTAGTCTCTATTAAAGCTTCATGCAGCACCTCTCGCTTCAAACCCGATCGCATCCATGAGACACCATTCTGGAGCTATCGGTATTATGGTGCAGAGAATACCATCTTACCAATGAAGATTAGCACCGTCAATCTCTCGTATGCGGTTTCTGGACTGTGAACTCTTCGCATCTTCCACTTCCCCGCCTTGGAAACTCTGCTCGCAGACTCCATCCTTCATAAAAGCGTAGCTTCTGCAGCTTTTCAGTCATGTTCGCATACAATATCAGCAACTTGGCATCGATGCTTCGTCTTTTACTGAGCATTTACTTACCAAAGCTCAAGCCTTCTTCGAGTTTGGTATTGTGCTGGCCATTATTAGCTCTTTAATATTGTTCCAGTTAAATGGTGACAGAGCCGAAGACTACATGCTAGACAAGTTTAAGGAAGATAAAGAAAAGGAAGGGTTGTTGGAGAAGATGGTCATTCCATCGCCACTACGCACACCAAAGCTCGTTGGCAACTGCAATGAGATTGACATGGTGTACGACTACTCAGACAAAAACGATATCATTGTAGATATTACGTCTCCGCCGACAGTCACGAAGAATACGGCATTATTGCTGTTGAAGGGTAAAACGGCAGAAAAGTTGGACTTAGAGCGTCAGCAGCGCTTACAGGACGCAGACGATGACGAAGAAGGCTATATGACCCATCTCGATGCCAAGTGTCTCTGTTTCCGCACCAAGCACGTGCCGTACCTTTTGTTCTTGTCGGTTTTTATCGTTTTGCAATGGCGCTGGCATGACGATCAATTTTTTCCCGCTCTGTTTCAAGGAGGAATATGAATCACGCTGATCCACGTGTGCGTGCTCTTATGTGAGTTAGCCATTCGTTGTCATGATCCTGTTATGCCTTCACAGCGCTTCTCAAAGGCGTGCGGCCGCATCCCAACTATTGCGTCAAAGCGACAACGTTTACTGAGTGACTGTTTTCCTCGGCGTAAGAGCAAACGATGGATCTACAAATCGGGCTCTTCCTGACTTGTTGTTTTAATGCGCTGGTCACAGCCTTTGCATCAGTCAACATTGATGGACTACACACGTACCACAGACTACTCGTGCACGCTAAAGGTCTTGTTAGTGTTATCTTGGTCAGGCAGGTAGTTGCTTGGAGGCTCTTTAACCGATCCGTACGTTACTGCATTGGATATATCAGCACGTCGCGTATCTACTGTGCGCTGGTCCGGGCTTGGAAATAATCCTATTGCTGCACACAAACCCACGCCATTAAAAGATAGAGCTACTTATCTGCATCATCAAATTTATGAAATAGTGCAAAGCAATGCCCAATCTACATGATCCTTTAAAAGTTATTCCTCGTGTCTACAGTTACCTGAGCTGCTGTGTCATGTCGCTGAAACGTGCAGTTCGGTTGGGCGCCGAGCTTTCGGCATTCTCCATTTCAGTGAGCGTTTTGACATGGCACAGTACGCGGCGTTCGTACTAGCTAGTTCCTGTTGCATAATGTCATTTTTCACTGGAACAGCACATCTTGGTCTACAATACTCAACTTGCGGACTACTTTGTAGGCATGGCCCTCGAAACCTAATTTTGCGCGATCAGTCGCTTGAGGGTTGACCAATCGGAGCAGTACCAGTGATGCAGACACTCTCTCTTTTTTCAAAACTTCGTGCAATTTGATTGAGGTCGAGCGCTTTGCCGGTGATCGCATCAACTTATGGGCGAGTACGTCACGCCATGGGCCTTTTTCCTCGTTGCCGTTCAAATACTTGGTGGACTATCTGGGATTCCTCATCGTCATCAATGCGATCGCTGGACTGAAAGCCGTTTTGCACCAAGTGCGCGACCTCGTACACTTTGCGCCTAAGCATAGAAAGGCATCCTCCCTCTGACGGTAGAGGAAAGAAGGTCGAAATGCTCATGGGTTCGCAGGTACAAAGACGAGATAAAGCGAAAGCGAAAACCAATCGTTAATCATTGCACCGGCCCAAGTGTGATATCCAAGTACAGGCTAGGTGATGTTGACTTTGATCTCGTATGCTAGTACCAGAGCGTATCCGACTCTATCCAAGCACACGACTGACCACTTAAGCTACTAATGACTTCTTTCGACTCATCGGTGTTCAATTACTATGCCGAAAATAAGACTTCCTGTTGGTGATTATGCTCGTAAAATGAACTGCACCACGACTGCTTTGTCTATTAAGTAAATAATTACCTGAATGTGCTGCGGCCGAGCCAATGTATGTATGCGAACGCTTTACGCAAGCCGTCTTGCCACTAAAATGGCTCAACTCTCGCATGCGTCAGGTTATCTTTCCTTCTCTACATTTCTATCTACTCTCGCCAGGGTCCATTAAGCGGCACGCGCTATAAGTGCCGCGCTGAAGGCCGTCCAGACTGCACGATCCTGTGTACATTGGCGAAGGAGGTACATGTAACGGGGGTACAAGATTTGTGTATTTTACATACACACTTGCCACATCAATGTGGTGTGGCTTTACCTTGGGTACAAAAGTAGGCTGATGTGACAGTACGAGGTGGCATCGTGGCAGAGAGCCACGTGGTCACTATACTCATTTATAGTATAGTGAGTATGCATGTTTGCATAATAATAAAAGGCTAAAGAGACAGTAATAGTGACTAGCACTAAGTATAGAATAGGTGCTTCTATATTTAGTGTTAGAAGATAAAACTAAATATAAATCAGTTTCTAACCTGCTCTGTAAGCTTTACAACTTAAGCGTTCGATTTCTTTGAAAGGAATCAGTATTTTTTTTGGTACTAATCTCTCTGAGACTCGGTTGTTAATACCGATAGGCACAAGCTTACGAGCTAGCCTAGGAGGTTTAAGCACCCTAAGACGTAAACGCTCTCTGAGCTTGTCTTCCTTTGCACATAGTGCATACGAAGCTTTGCTATAGTAATTTGACTACTTCTTCTGCACACAGTGCATCTGAACATAGTGCATAAGTAGCGTAGCTACAGTAGCTCGAGTACACCTGGTAGTGTAACGGGGCGAGAGCTCCGTTACGTAGCCTACACTAAAGGTTTTACGAGGAAGCGTAAGCAGCACGCAATTTACTTGCATGCTTAGGACCAAATTAAACTCTATTCATTATTATTAAGGTTAGATGCAAAATCCTAAACCTTCTGCAAACCACCCTAATACGTGCTAAATAATCATTGGGTCAAATGGGGCTGAAACCTACTTTCAACTAATCAAATTATGGAACTAAAAGATACGCTATTCCCCAAAAATAAGGTGTCATATCTTTTCCTTTTCCTACTTTATGTAATATTGTCAATATTATCTACCTAATCATGCATAAAAATGGGACCGTTATGATTGCCATATCGTCCTAGTATGGCGTGTAACGATACGACCCCGTTACACCACCCCCACTCAAAATGACAAGTACTATAAGGAAGGGACCAAAAAAGCACAGCAGACACACACTGCGTAACTTGCACTACTCCACTGAGTCGCCAACCAGCTTCGTCACCGCACGAAGACCTGGCAGTGCCTCCGACAACCTTCAATCCGCCGAGAAGACACGTAGATACCTTGCAAGTATAAACCATTTATGACTGCAGTTGTATCCAGCAATCACGTGGAGACGAGGTCATGGCCGATATGTGGCAAAGGTGGAGAGCAACGCGTAGGAAACCCGTCACGGCTACCCTAACCGTGACCCAAAACTCGCATGATGAATCATGGACTGCGTTCGTGCGACGCTGGAACTCGGAACCACATTTTCGGCGCATTATTACCATATTGAGAGGAACAGCGACGGAAGTATGGACTGTCTGACTTGCGTGAGAAGGTGTGTACAATGTCTTGAAACGCTGGACGGCTACGTGAGAAGGCGCGAGGGATGTCGATTTTGTCGCGGTGAGCAAGCTCCAACCCGCGACGAGTGGGAGCCAACTCTTGCGCAATAACCAATGACGGAATAAGAGCGTCCGTGGATAGGGCGCTATAAACGTGCTGTCTCGAATTATAATCATGTACTTCTGCTCGGTCGTGCACGTACTAGATCGACACGTAACTCACGTTTACGCTCGCAGTCTTCAAGTCCTCGACCGCGAGAACCACCACGTTCGCCTCGGCCTCGTGCGCCTTCACCACGTCTGGAGCGCCAGCGAGAAGAATGGAGCGAGGATCCCACGAATCGCTCGTGGAAGGGATACCAAGCCAGCGGACGCGATATTGACACCCGTCCGAGATCTCCGTGGGACGGCCATGACTGGAGGCGCGGTGATTCAAGGTCGATGGGTCACGATACTCGAGAATCCTATCGACAATCCAGCGCGGATTCCCGGCGATATCAATCAGCGGGGGAGGGCCATCGAGGTGGAAGTGTGCATGAGGTGTCTGCGAGTCTAAAGGGGTCTGACATGACCGAGTCTCTCGCAAAGGATCTCCGCGAGTATCAACAGCGCGTTGGGTTTGTTGAATATGACGCGGAGAGGCGAGGGAACTGGCTGAGCTTGCTGACTCGCGAGTGGAGTAGGTATCTTCGACGGTAGCTGGATTGGCGGCTCTCTTGGAACATTCGGAACAGTCAAGCGCGGCTCTTCGGAAAGACAACACGGTGTTGCGAGGGGACCGTCAACCGGATCCTCCAAGGAAGCCAAAGCACCTCAAGCCACGCTATGCTCCTGCGCAGGGATCTTCTGATTAGTCGGGAGGAGGGCCGGCCAGTAGCGTTTGAGTCGCCCGAAGTAAAACGTTGGGTGACGTCGATATCAAGTGTGTAGGCATTACCCATAACATTGACGACCTTGAATGGTCCAATATAGCGCAGTGACAGTTTGTTTGCACCGAGGTTTGTCACAGATGCCTTTGAATGCCTGTCGTGGATAACAATACGGAGTCACCCACGGAGAACTTTAATAGGTTCTTGCGTTCGTATTGATCCGCAGACGTTTTCTGTTTGTCAACCGCGCTCGCGAGCGCATCAAGAAGAAATCGTGCAACTGACTGTCTTTGTCCACAAATGCGTCGATAGCCGCCGATTAAGTGAGACAAGCACTCGGCGGCGAAGCACTACGACTCAAGGGATCGATCGACGGACTGTTGGACGACGAAGGTAATGGAAACGCACGACACGTAGGAGTAATCAAAGCTTCGCTAGACCATTCTGTAGCTTCATGTACCGACAACGGAGTCAGCTTACGCTGGCAAGCAGCGTGAGTCATTGCCACATTAAGCGACGCCGGGGAAGGCAAGACGTCATCTTGCGATCCGCAGCGCTTGATGCTGCGGACTTCGTCAACTCCAGAACTCCTGCGGTTTCTCCCTCAACAAGAGTAGAATTATCCTGCAAACCAAGAAGTACAGGCACGCGTGGATGACGCGCGCTATTGACGAAGAAGGGGGTCAATCCCGTTGAAGCGTGAACGGCGTTATTTAATGCAAACTATGCAGAGGAAAGCACTCCATGACTCTTATGACGTGGCATAACTTTACAGCACGTCTTCCAATACGCGGTTTGCACGTTCAGTCTGGCCGTCTATTTCGGGTGCGCCGCAGTAGACATTAACAATCTGGTACTTAGTAACTCGAACAGCCGCGACCAAAAGGCGGCTGTGAACCGGGGATCACGATCCGAAACATTTGTAGTGGCAATCCCATGGTGCCGGAAGACCATATCCAAGAAGAGTGTCGCCGTATCTGTTGCAGTTATTGATGCGGCGACCGGAGCTAGATGCACCATCTTGCTGAACCGGTAAACGACGACGAAGATACCTGCGCGTCTTCTAGAAGGCCAAATATAAAGTCCATGCGAATTGATCGCCACGCCTCGGGGAGATGGGTA